GGATGAAGCTTGACTCGGGTAGGGACTGCTAAGTCCGCTACTTTGGTTTGGAAACCTCCAGAGGTGCCGAAGGATCATACACTTCACAGAAGGAAGAGATAGAATCCAACTTTTGTTTGTTATCAGGAGTGCAAGTTCCCAACATCGCTCCGGTTGGAATTAGATAAACTAAGTTTGTTTCGGTATGATAAAATAACCAATCCTGGATAAGGGATAATTCAGGCGTGTATAGACTATGGCATCGTTAATCCCTTTTAATTAACTGTGAAATGTTTTGTTTCAAAGTAGCTAAGGGAAGTTTGGTTGGAGACCTGATCTTTGGTCATATAGCCGTGTGATAAGTCTGGTACTCTATTAAGAATAAAAAAAGAAGAAAATTCCCTGATCGTCTGTCATATGTGCTGCCCATATCCTGAGCCTTCTTAGAAGGGACTCCATAACGGAGATCTTCTTTGACACGCGGGCCTAGTTTCCACCAACCCAGATGTACCCCCGATTAAGTGATGACACTGACGGTACTATCCTTCCTTTTTTTTATTAGGTCCGGATGCTTAGTTTCCTTTTAACTTAGTACTGATCTTTATTTTCCGATTTGCTTTCTTAGTGCTGACACCCTCGTATGCCGATCTTATAAGGAAGCGGCAGAAGAACCTATTTGACAGTAATCTATCAGGAACTTCAGAAAAAGACTGGAAAGTAAGGAACGAAGTGCTCGACCGGAAGGGATAAGATGGGAAGTAGTACGCCCGGTTCACCAGGTTCTACCACTGCAGGGCCCAATCATACTCAAAAGAAGAGTTTGATCCTGGCTCAAAAGGAACGCTAGCAATATGCTTAACACATGCAAGTCGAACGTTGTTTTCGGGACAAATGTCACAGAAGTCAGAGAAAAAGCTTTTGAAACACTAACTAGAAAAATAAAAAGAGAAGAAAACCCAATACAAAATGTGCGCTAATAGTAGACTTATTTTTTTTAATTTGTCAATCAATAGTACATGCATGTGTGGGACGCAGAGGAAGAGCAGTTCTAAAGTTGAGTTAAGACAGCAAGCAAATTTTATCAGAAATCAACCATAGTTCAACCAAACCCCTGTCTGCACCCTATGGAGCCGCATTTAAGAACTTGAACCAGCCCAGTCATGTCAACAGTAGCCAAGTACATGAAACTCGAACAAAATAAAGAAAGCCAACCAATTGGAGTCTCACCCTAGTCATGATCCTGAACATCTAACCCTCAGGTATCCAAGAAGCCAGAGTCTATCCTCTTCATAAAACACCTGTGCCATATAATACAAAAACTAAAGTTTACTAAAAAACCTTTATCCAACCTATCCTTCGTCTCCTTTTAACCCTGTCTAAGACCCTTCTTTCTTATCCAAGCCCGTGTTCGTCGCATTGGACTAATTGGATACTTCTAGCAGCTAATCAGTCAAAGTCAAATCTGTTAATTCAATATCTTTCTCGCCTTATCCTGCTAACAGCCTATGAATGTGCGCTTGTCGGAAATCATCTTAAATCTTCATTTCCAAGTGCGCTGATTCGAGAACAAGCGAGACTGCCAAGCTTCCTGCTGCTCCTGCTAATGCTATTGCTACCTCCTCCTTTGCTCCTTCGATACGTGCCCGGTCTAAATGTGTTTTTGCTTTAAATTCTTCCTGAAACAGCTTTGAGGCCTTGTCAGTTGCTTTCACTAGCAGCGCTTATGCCAGAAGCACTCGTAGGTTAAAGAACGGTAAGATTGGATAAGCTTGTTCTTGAATGCACAGGGACTAAGAAGACTGCTGCCATTCCATTCAGGTAATGCAATAGTGAATGTCCGATCAATAACAATAGTGATGTGGCACTTCTTTATGACTTTCCTGTTGAGCATAACTTCTGGAGGATTTGATATGGATGTAACTTGCTCTAGAATCATAAGTTTCCTAATCGAATAGGATAGGGTGCATGCCAACTCGGAATAGAAAGATCCCTTTCCTTTAGTAGGACGGCACGAGTGAGCTTATTAAAGAGCGAATCCTAGAGGAGGATCAAGGGGGTAAGATCCCCGAGTGGGACAAATCAAGTCTTTGTCTTTGCAAGGGAAAGTAGTAAACTATGGATTTAAACTAAGGTACTGTGCCCTAAGATAAGGCACAATCAAAGCAGGGACTTGGAGACTAGCATCCGATTATAGGCATCTTTCAATTGAGTAGGTCAGGAAAGAGACAATAGGCGATTATCCCCAATAGCAGAAACGCCGTTATTCTTGAGTAGTCGTAGTTAGCCGGAATAAGAGGTTTCTCGGGGCTACCAACTTTTTGGCTAGGAACGACTTGCCTAGTTGGAACTCTTCTCCGCCGACTCCTGAGGCATACTACAAATCAGTGCGTTCTTGCCCGCTTGTTACTTTGATCCGAAGATCCCGAGCCCCTTATTCTACCCCTTTCTTTTGGTAGCTACCGATCACTTCACCAAATGGGTCGAAGCTGAGCCATCTAAGGTCTGTCTTCCCAGTTTTCCCATACGCGAGTCGAGTCATCTTCTTCATCAGGCTTCCTTCTCGCAGTCGAAGCAGTAGTGGTACTGGAACGAGTTCCCTATTCGATATGGTTTCATTCCACCAGTCCGATAGCACTGGGTGAAAGGGCTTCACTTCAGAACCTTTTCTTGCTTGTGGGCATAAAATTAACCCTGAGGTGACTTTGTCCCTGGCATCCATTTCTGCCCCCCAACTTTATTCACTTCGCGGTAAACGCAATAGCCAGCAGGTCAAAGCCTTTTTCTGGGTCCAAGGGCCCCCTACTACCCAATTCCTGTCTTCGGAACTACGGGGATAGGTTACTTTCTGCGATGGCCCTCTACCTCGTTGGGAAAAGTGAAAGGAAATAACAAGCCCTAAACTAAATACCAATTAGCAGCTTATCAACCACCTAACACAGACTCATGTTGGCAATGCCATGGTAAAGTAAGAGAACGAGCCATTCATCCTAAGTAGTATTTTAGTATAGAAGAGAGGCATTCTGAGCCTACTACTACGACCACATGCGCATCTAGTGCAGTGGCTTGGAAGCAAGCATCCTTGACCATCTTCCGAACTTATCCAGAATTTCCTGATCAAACGCAGTAGGGGCGGACTACTCTTCATTCAGCCACGCCACAGTGACCCCCGAAGCGATCTTCATTTAGTTGCAGGACGAAATCCGGCAGCCGCTGGCTCTGAATAACCAGCCCGTTAATAAGTTAAATTCTTCCATAACATAACAGGGTGGGGTTGCGCGCGAGCCAAGGGACGGAGGTGCACAAGGGTACTTCGCGCCACAACCATCTCTTTTTTATAAGTTCTACGGACCGATGTTTGTTGCTTCATCTGGGAGAAAAGAATCATAGATATGCCGGTCATTAGAAGGAAGAACCGCCATAAAAAGATTCCTCGTGTATCATCTGTAGCAAAACTATGAACGGAAGCTAGCAATCCGGACCGTATTGAAAAGGTTCCTGAGACACAGCATGGAAGAGTAACAATATTAAGAAACGAGATCCAAGAATGAAGAAGGGGTAGAATTACAGAATGAATATGAGATGTGGCTAATACCAAAGGCATAAAAGAAGCATTTTCTACGGGATCCCGAAACCACCAGCCACCCCGACCTAATTCATGATGAGCCCACCAACTTTCTGGCATGATGCCCACAGTTAAAAACCATCGACATGTCAAGATCCAAATTCGAATCTGTTTCTGGTCCTGGTCAGATACCACTCTGTTCGCGCCGGCGCTCCAACAAAGAGGCGAAGTAGTGGTCTCTTTCTGTTCATTACAAACGACACGCTTCGCCTGCTCCCTCCCCGTGTCCACTAGCGCTCCTGTCCAGAGCAAAGAGAAGGTGAAAAAGCGCCGCCAAAGCAGCATGAGCAGGCTTCTATTGCTACGCAACAAGAGAGTTAGATAGAATTTTGCGACCACATGTTTTAATTTAATGGTAAAAAGCTCGCTTGTTATACGGGATCCGACGCATCCAGCAGAGCGAAGTAGCGTTCCCTTCTTTTTGGCGGCATCCTTCCGCATTGGCGGCGAGTGGAGTACCACAATCCCATTCAAAATTTTTTATCTAAATAATCTGAAGCCCATAGCACGGGCGACGTCTCCGGCATAAATGCAAGGAGGATGTATAGCTGATATAGGATCTTGTGGAACAGGATTTAATTCTGCAAGCGGTTCGGTATGAACGAAGAAATTTTGAACAAAAGGATCGGAACTCGCTGATAGGAAAGGAGAGAAAAACAAAGCAATGCCAAGAGCTCCGTCAACCCGTTGTTCATCGATAGAAGAAGCCCTCTCTTTATCATATCGTGTCAGCTGCAACAAAGGATGAGTCCTTCTTTTTCCTTCTCGCGAACCACGAGAGCGCCTATCACCCAGAGGAGCAAAGCTAATTATCCTTTCAGGGTAAAGCGGCGCATAAAAAAGGGCTGGCCCGTCAAATGTCTGGTTCCTTCACGAATGAAGTTCAGAATTAACAAGGGTTCGTAGAACGAAGGGAGTGTACAACTGGGGTGCAGCCCCAGTTTTTTGTTCGTAACGAGGGAGAGATAGAATGGAGTTCTTCACGAAGTTCGAGACAATGTAATACAAAACTTCTCTATGGCCTCCTCGTTTTGAGACATTCTGGCTTTGGGGTCGACCCCAGTAACAAAGAAGGAATCCATAAAAACGTGGGATCCGACACCATGATAAAACACTACCCTCATGATTAGACCATGTCCCTGAGATTTGATAAAAGAAAGGTGCATTAGCGGTTAATACGTTGTAATTGGATAAGTTATTAGGAATATGACGGAACGAAAGACCGAGGAAAGAAAGAAGAATGCACCAAAATGCAGGTGCTGCACAAAACGCAGGTGGTTGTTTCTTGTTGTAAGTGAATGCAACGAAAAGACCCGGAAATAACGATAAATGAAATAATTCATATATTATGTACATTTCGTGCTCTGCTCATTTATAAATTTATGCTTTGTTATTCCCATCATCCGGTAACCACAGGATGATCCACAAGAAAGGTGGCAGGATTCGAACCTATGGCCCGCCCCTGACCTGCTGGGTTGGGTGGCCGGGTTAGCACCCCTCTAAGCCCCTATACCCGAAACAGATGCGCTGCGCTACCCAGCGCTACACCTTGTCTCCCCTACTCCTCTTCTGGTTATTCCATTACCAATCGCGAGTAACCCCCGGGCCAGCCGCCCCAAACCTAATATGATAAGAACTATTATCCTAATGACCAAACAACGATAGTTTCACGATCCTGACCAGCAACTTGTTGGGAGTAGGGGCATCCAAGCTTGCCCAACCTAGACATTGAAACTTAAAGTCCTGCCTACTTGTAGGCTTAGGGTAGTCCTCGAAAACCTTATTCTTTGACTGGCTTGGGAAAGACCCGTAGGCTATGGATCCCACTAATGGAATGGGACTATAACCATACTTCGTCTAGGTTCAAGGACAATCAAGATTTAGGCTTGGAGTATCTAAGGCTTCATGGACCCTCTTTTTAGGGTAAGGAAGGACTCGCTAGTGTCCCAAGGATTGACCGGTGAAACTAATAACTGAATTGCCCTAAAATAAATATGTATTTTTCCATAAGACTGAATCCATATAAACCTTGGCTTAGTGCCAGAACTGTAAGCGGCAGATGATTGGTATGAAGGATCAGTTGCAACGGTTTCACATTCATGTGAATCAAGAGATTGGATTTAATTGAAAGGCTTTCCAACTAGCCATTGTACTTGAGATTGCGATAAGTCCTTCTTCTTTGTCACCCCATTTCCCTTGGGACCAAGAACAAGCTCCAAAGAAGAAGAAGAGACTTAAAAAAACTAGATGTGTTTGGTTGTTGGCCGGATGCATGGGAAAAAGACCTCAGATATCACAGGCTCTCTTCGGAGAGCGGTATACCAAAAAAAGCCCTTTTTAAAGTAAAGAAAGAAGATAGGCTTAAGTCATCATCGAATAAGGGCTTTTAAAGAGCGTGACTCTTCTTTTTGAAAAAAGGTAAGACTCTGTATTTATATAATATACACAATTTTACGTCTAGTTCGCCACAAGGAGGAAGCTAGCCTATGTGGAAGAATGAAGTCAAGCTGCACACAATCCACAACCAAAAGAGAAAAGCCACTCAAGGGTAGAGGGATCTTGCTCGTCAACATCTGTTGTCGATCCGGTCATCAACATCTGCTTTTCTTTGGGACAAGAATGGTTATATCATGGCAGTGAGCTTCTCGTACATGTCGTCCAATACATTAGCGTCCAACCATTATGAAGAGAGCCTTGGGGCATCCGCTTAAACCCTAGGATTGGAGCCTTACAACTTTCTCATCTCAAGCTATTTTTACCTTATATTGAAGTGCATTCACTCATAGGACGACAATCATGTACTTGTACTCAAGTGACGATGAACACTGAACCTAACAGCCGAGGAGACGATCTCCGGTAACAAAGAAGAGTAGATTACCAATTCAGTCACCACTCTGTGGGCTTTTATGATTACACTACTCACGAATCTATCTATCCAATTTCTTACTGAACATGACATGTCTCCGATTTCCATGCTACGATTTTCGCTCCTTATCCCGTACATAACGAAGTGAATCTTATTTAAACATTCATTGCTATGGGCCGTCTTATTGCACTGAATGACGGATCACATGGGGTGGATCCTACTAATGCAATGTTTTCTCCTTGTAGGAAGGTATTTTGAACATCTAGCTGGTATAGGGACCACTTCTTTGATGCAGCAATAGCCATTAAAGTTCTAATCTTCACAAATTGAAGTTAAGGTTTCCTCCCAATCTATCCAATATTTATTCTTGAGAAAAGCCTTGAATAGGACGAGAGGAATAATGGCCAACCTCAGGCATGTTGTCTGGAACTGGATCATGGCTTGAGTCTGGAGAGGGAGAAGCATTGGTTTACTGATCTCTTTCAGGTCCTGGCTGAGCTTCAACAAGATCTGGTGTTAGACGAAGTTTCTTTCTGGTATACACTATGGTTGATAGTGTATAAGTCACAAGCTTCTCTGGGTGATATATATGAGTAATTATTCACGGTGATACTCTCTGGGGGAAAACAAAACTAGACTAATCAGTGTAGGAGAAGACGAAGCCGAAGATACAGAAAGAATCGTCTCCAACACACCGATGGGAGACGGGGCCCCCGCAAGGAAAAGTTCTGCTCTCATAACCGACTGTTTTTAATCTTTTTATGGATGTGATATATCTGATGTTCAATTCTGTCATAGGGGCTGCTGCACACTGATATAAAAAAAATTATTACGTCATCCGAGTGAAAATCAGACGATGTAGCAGTTTGACCTGTCTATTAATGTCACGTCCCGCCTTTGCAGACTGACCTTTCTTTCATGACACTCTCGGCCATAAGCTGTATTGTATGTTTTCGCTAGGACCGACTTCTTTCGGGGCTACTTTCCTCCCGCTAGAAATGTAATAATACATCGAGAGTCTAATCCCGTGGCCCCCTCCGGCCAAATAAGTTTATTTCGCTCTCAGCGACCGCTCTTCGTTTAGGACGGACCGCTCTTCCTTCATCTTCGGGTCCTCCTTGACTTATCTTTCTTCGTTCGTCCCCTCCGATCATGACCTACTTACTCCCTGTGATATAGCTTATGTTCAATAGGATCGAGACTAATCTTTCAATTGAAAATAAAAGGCAAGCAGGAATTGAACCCACTAATGGGCTAGCGCTTGGCGTTTACTCTAGCCCGTCTTTATAAGATAGACCTATTTATTAAGTTGTCTTTCCCCTTACCTTATCAGTAGATCGGTTGAGGCCCGACCCTTGGGGTTTTCGACCTTGATGCCTAAGGGGCAGAGCTGTGGGTTGGAAAGAAAGATTTGTAGAAAGAGAGGAATCGAGATAAAGTGCACTTTCCCTTGATGTCACTCTATTCCAACAAAGCACACAATAAGTGAGATGAGCCTGCCAGCTCAGCCTTGGCCCTATGCCTTTTGGCCAGCTCGTCTGGACTTGGCTTTGACCGGTCTGCCCCCCTCTTGCAAGGATTCGGCGCCTCCACTTGATGCTTTACGCCCACTCTTCGTTCAGGCAGTGCTACTCAGATATGTCTTGCCTATTTTTCTCCAAAGCAGTGCTACTTCCACGATTTTTTTTTGCCAAGCTCGGGAACCTTCCCTTTAGTGAAAGGCTCTATCTCGGGACGAAGAGAAAGAGAGGGGAAAGGCCAAGTACGAGATGAGATCACAAGGATCGGGCTGGAGCTTGACAAGAGCGATACAGGAAACCATACAATCAAAGGCTAGCAAGAAGAAGCAAAAAGATAGTAAAAGCTCAAGGGATTCATCACGAAGGCAAGTGGTAGTTAACCGGGGTAGGGAGCGGCTCATCCGTCAGGATGGGATCCCATCCCTCTACTTCACGTTTTTGGCTTTTCTTTTTCTTGCGTTGACGCTTCGATTCCAAAGCGGGCGGCTCCATCTCCGCCTTAGCCTTCTCCTCTCCCTGTTGGGTATCTCTGAGGACTTGAGCTAAGGGATTGTTTACTTAACGTCCCATACTTGACCTATCGCTCCATTCGGTGAAGTACCCCCTTACATTTCTTTATCTTTCTAGAGGTAAGAGGAATCAACCCGAAATGCGTGAACCAGTGCCCTTTTCTAAGACTCTTCTATATAAAATCTATTACAGGATTCAATCCTTCACACTTATGCATGGTTGGAACATTTTTTGGTCATTAGTGGTTGATTGGATCAAACTTCCAATTATTGAGAGAGATATAAGGTCTGATTCTAAGTCAGAGTTTGAACTGGTGCTTACACCGAAGCCCTTGCCCTTGCCAACAAGTGACGAACTACAAGTCAAGATAGAGTCCCCAGAATACATCATGAAGATGAGATTCGCTTTAGCTGGGTCTTGCAGACGGGAAGACATACCAGCATGCGGAAGAGGTAGAGGGACTGGCTTACTAGGTCGAAGCGACAAGCCTTAGTCAAAGAGTCTGATTTGATCTGAACCTCGATCTCTATAGTTTACTTACTCATCATAATACAAAAGAAAAATCTCCTATATAATAAGTATTCATAAAAACATCTAGGGACCACATCATTTATGTATGCTCTCGGCCAAGAAGGGCAACTACCTATTGCAAGATACCTCAAGCGAGGGGTAGGTGGTAGCTTGGCTTAGCCTTACCCCAAGCCGTACCGAACTTCAGTCTAATTTTTGCAGGGTCTGGGTAGGTGCAGGAAGTCAGAGAGAGAAGTACTGATTTATATAGGGCGCATGTCCTCGTAGAATTGGTTTGCTTTCGCGGCAGCAGCGTGAAGGGATATTTCTGTACTAAATTTAGAGCAATTTATCCCCTTCTTTCATATAGCCTACCTGGACTAGAAAAACCTATGCCTCTCTAACCGACATTTGTCCTTCAGTCCTTCGGGGAGGCCTGTTGTTGGTCTTGGAGAGAGCGCTCAACCGTCGCCATGCTTCTTAGACTGAGTCAACGCGCCTATTTACTGTGCGCCTATCTGTTATCTAGGAACCTGAGATTTGGCTTTCACATTTTTTTATAACTTTCGCTTCTGAGGTAGAAAAATCTTCCATCTGGATTTTTGACGGCAATGACTAAGTATAGTCCCATTCTTCAACATTCGGAATGGCGATCTTGGCCCGACCCTCTTTCTTATCTTTAAGGTACTTTTGCTACAGCAGAGGGAAGTTTCCAAAAGTGGAGTTCACGTGTCCCAAAGGGAAGATCTCTGGAGCTCCCTCTCCCTCTATTTTAAGACATACTTTTAGTTTGAGCGGGGAGGGCGAGATGATAAGGGAATCGGCCAAAGGCATCTATCATCTCATCGGAGAAGCGGTCCTAATCTAATTCTAATAAAGGGTTGCATTGCCTTACCAAAAGGAGTCAAATGTCAATGGCAATCCCTGGTGCCTAGAAAGTAACCTTTATACTGCTCAATCTAATCCTGCCTAGCATATGCTGGCGTGGCAACAAAGGCCCTATTCTAATATTCTAACTATGCTTGGAGCTTGCAATCCTTGAAAAAGCCCAACCTGCACATTGCTCTATTAACTGCACCTGCCTTTGGTCTTAGTTCGTAATGACAAAATTTATTCTTTGAAGGAAGAAAGCTTGGGGACTGATTCACTGACTTCACCACAAGCAGCGGATAGGACCAGAGCTTTACTCAAAAGCTCTTACTGTAACAGAAAAGACTGGCACCGGTTGGTTATTTAACAGCAGATAGGCTTAGAGCTAGTAGTTTCCCTTGGATTATTCAAATGTCATTGCAGATGATCTTCTCGAGCAGTGATATCCCCCAAAGCAAGGGTCCGAAGGATAGAAAGTACTGCTTATTCTAATTCGTATCTTAAGTCTTTCCAGTTCCTATTCAAGTGAACGGGGAATCTTTGAATTCCACCTGGCTACACGAATACGAAATGTTTCAGTTGTTATCAGAGCAGTTAATCTCTCCTGCCCTGCTTGTTGAGACTCGTCTCCATCCTATCTGCTCTTGTGCTAATGTTGAAAATATGATTATAATTGGATAAAAATCAAGAATAATAGGATGCTTAAGCCAATAAGATAGATAAAGCATACCCCTACTACTCGTAAAAAAACTATGTCACTTCCTTCCCCAGCGTTCAGTGGAACGTGAGGCACTATTCCCACAGCAGCTGGTTGGATTCTCCAACTTTGGCAAATGAACCCCGTTCAAGTTCCATCCCAACTGTCTCATCTTGAGAAAGGGAAATATGGCAATCTTTATTAGGTAAATCAGGCTTCTCACCTTCCTTTCCCCATGGTTTAATCAGAGTAACCGCTTAATACATATTATTTGGCAAAGCAAGCTTACTGCCTGAATTTAGGAGTGAAAGATCTCGAACAGCTTTTATTGCACCAATAGCGGGAACTAAGACAGCATATGAGTAGCTCGAATCTAGCTAGACTTCTCGCTAGGCCCCCTGCCTCTCTTTAAGCATCAAAATAGGAGATCTTTGGGTCTCGCCTATCACTTTACTTTCCTAAGTTTCAAAGGATTTAAGAAGCTGACTCTCGCAGCGATTAGTGATTCAATCACACCGGAAAGGATAATTCTAAGAGCGTCAAGGCTTAGAGCTTCTTCTCAAGCTTCCTATTTTGTGCGTGGGTTAACTATTGATTCAATTGCGCAAATAAGCCTAGTTGTCCTAAGAGCTGATTCGGGAACTGCTTCAATTCCAAGAGGGGCGCTTACTCTTGCAGCTTTTTCTTTCACAACTCTTTCTATCACAACTGATTTTTCCTCATACGGATCTAAGCTCTCGCAAGTGCCTTCCCTTCCTTCTTGCCTATTCGATAGGAGCTTACATTCTCTGGGGGAGTTTTTTTATATAAAAGAATAGTTGGCATCAGTGTTATCAGTGCATCTATGAATCCAACCTTCCCTCACAGTGGGATGGGATAAACGCAGATTCATCCTTGCAATGGTTATTTAGGATTATGTAAGAGCGGTACAAGAAGGCTATGAAGATTGTATGCTTTCCTTTACACCTTCAAGCTTGAAGGTTCACGAAAGCAGTTCGGTGATTGCAAAGTACTCAATCAGGCTCTATCTCCTACGCTACCATCTGTCTTCGATTATAAAATTTATAGTTAGGGAGAATTCAAGATAAAATCCTAAAATAAAAGCACGCATGATAAAGTATACAATAGCACCATCTCTTCCCACTACGCGCTAAGAAGGAAAATAAAGGACAGACAACAGGGAAGGGGATTCTTTGAAAGCCTACTACTCTTTGGCCCGCTTGCTCGCATGGAATGAATAGGCTTGCTGACTGGCTTACCTACTGGAACTATCAAGCATAAAGTAGAGATTCCATACTCTTCTTTCGTGCACTATGCTTAAGACATAGAATTAGAAGAAAGACATTTGCAATTGGCTAGGGCAGTTCCCTACACGGGCGAATTCCGACACTCACAGTACTCCCCATAGCTTTCGCCTACTGAGCTTGGGCTGGTAAGCTCCGGGGCCTCTTTCCTTCCCCTATGTTCCTCCCTCCGCTTAATATAGTACATTCCTTTGGCTTGGAAGGCAACCACTTATTATGGAATGACATATATGATGATGATGGTAGCTATCTTCCTAGCCTCTAGTACATATTTTATTAATATTATTTACCATCCTTAACAGATGAATTACATTGTAGAGAAAGGTTTATCTAACTAGTTAGGGAGTTTGGCTGAGCTTGAATATTTACCATCCATACAGTGTCAGAGCTTGAATGGCCTCTCATTTCATTTTTGAAGTAGCAATTCACCAACTCTGGGCATGGCGAAAGAAGGTGCAACATAATGATTCTTTTCATTTTCCTCATAATCCCAGTGATCTCATCATTGCTAAAGTTAAGGAAATCCATAAGTGTTTAGTGAAAGCTCTTGATCTTAATCATCGAGAGGTAGAGTTTCTCAAATGGGAAGCTCCCTCCCATCCTTTTGTTAAAGTCAGTGTTGATGGTTGCGCCAAGAATAATCCAGGACCTGCAATGGGGGACTCATTAGAAATTATAATGGAGAATGGATCATTGGATTCATGGAGAACCTATGACATGCTACAAACTGTGCCAGCAATTTTTTTTGCCATTTATCCAGGTCTTTCTCTTGCCTGGAACTCAGGCTTCAGAAGCATCTTTAAGCGGATTCAGAGGTCTGTCTCATTAGTATTATCCAACCTGTGTTGTGGTTGATGGCCCCACTCGAGCTCTAATTCCATACTATATTCTCGATTTTCAGGTTCAAAGTCCGAGTGGCCCCGTGAGGATGTGGAAAGCTAATCCAATGATAAGAGTGGTTAATTGGGCTCTCTTCGAAGGATTTCAACTTTGATGCCCTATCTGTGGCGGCACCTAAGCCGAATTTTATTTTGTAGGGACGAACTAAAATACCCCATCATAACACTCTAAGGTTTAGCGGGGAACTATTTAAGCTTCCAGCTTTCCACCTATATGGATTGTTTTAGCGTAAATAGACATGATCTTCGTTCGATATGCGTCCAGTCTCTCTAACCCCTGAAACCGTAACTATGGCTATATTCTCAGATCCGTCTTTTCTGCTGTTCAAAGATCTCTCTGATTCCCTTTATTTCGAAGTGGCATTTCCCAAAGTCGAATCCAAGGCTTGACACGGTCTTCTTAGCCTAGGCTAACTAGAATAGTTAGTAGCTTATAGGATCCCAAAGAAATAACCACAGATGGAGGAGCATTCATCTTTTTAACCTGTTTTCCCCAACCAAGATATCCTGCCTATCCCGAAAAAGGGACTCCCTCCCTCCTTCCTTATTCTTATTCAACTAAAAGTAAATTAAGGAAGATAAAAGATAAAGAAGAATCCTAACCATAAGATAACTGGATCTTTCTCAGAGTAACAGAATGAAAGTCTTTACCTTTGGCTAGATATAGAGTCGAGTGAGGCGAAATGAATTGCGTATATAAATATAGCAAGTAGTTTTTGTTTCATGAATGTGATTTGTGTGGGGTCAATGTACTTGCCGAAACTCGCTTGGCAGAATAATCTTAGCCAAAGCGAAGAATCGGATTGACATGCCGCGAATCCTATGGAAAGAGAGGGATGGGGTTTCTCTCGCTTTCTCTTTTCCTCCCAAAGTTTTATCCTTATAAGCGTTATACACAAGGCAAGAGCCTTTGGGTATTCTTTTATTCGGATGATAACGGTATGACCAAAAGGGCGAGACCCAGGAGTATTGATGTCTAGGACCGGGTGGAAGGAGCCATCTCCATACTCTCTAGTGGCACGAACTGACCTCCAAATTATATAGAAGGCATGAAGCTCACGTTCTCGTAATTTGCGGTCAATGCCGGTTGAACTTCGACAGAGACCTTAACAAGAGTGATCCATAGACCTTATTATTTTTGCTTCTTATCTATAGTCACGAATTTTTCAATTCCTGAATCTGAAACTCTCATCATTGAATTTGTCAGTTAGGGATCGAGTCATTCTTGATCACTAGTTCTCTCTTGATCTCTGATTCTGAGGTCATATCAAGGTTGTTTTTTCTGAGAGTCTTCGGTTGGCTGTCCGAGGACCGACTTCGCGAGACCATTTCAATCCACACTGGAGAAATCCTCTCTCGGGCTAGGCTCTATTGGGCGGAGGTGATCCTTTCTTTACTAGAGGAGCTGGAAAGGAATAGGCACCAATTTAGGTGCTTGCTTCCCCTGCACCTGGAGGATCTAACACTGATGGTGACTATAGATCTGGAAGTTACTTAGATGCTGGTTATAAAAGCTACTCAATATGTTACTTGGGACTAAAAACTAGCTTCTTCCTTTCTTTGCTTCTAATGATAGAAAAGAGGGGAGGGAAGGATGCGCGCCAGACAGAGGGGAAGCCCGTAGCTTCACGGGGTTGTTCTTTACTAAACATACGCAACTAAGTCTACTAAGAGTGAATTAATACATTTTATCTAAGTCGGTTTCCATTATCTATACCCAAAATAAAGTCAATGGAAATGCGAGGGAAATGAGCTACAAGCCCCTATTTGATAGGGGATAAACCGATGGTAAATCTCCTTGAGGTGATATAGCATTTAAGGGGCCTTTTAAGGTGCCTTAAAAGGTGGATTTGTTAAATCAAGATTCAACAATGGAATTTATAAGTAAAACACTGAATATGTTTTAAGGCATCCTTCATTCCGGGGTCGGGGCTGCCTCTCTCTACCTCACCACCCCTGGAATAGGGTTTGCAGTTTTATTGACCACTCACTAAAACTGCCTATTCAGCGTATGGAGCCGGCGTCGATCGTATAGCAAGCTGAAAATTGGATACCTATTCGATCCTAACATTCAGCAGAGGGTACACAACACCAGTAGTAATGCTGCGACGACAACCTCTAGTTTCGGCCCTCCCCAGGCCTTGATACCAAGAAATAGTAAAAGATTGCTTTGGTGGTAGGTGAAGTTGTAACAAAGTTCCCTTTTTCAATCAGTTCCAAGACCCCGATGCTCGAGCCCTAAATAAGATTTTTGGGGGATCTTTGCCGTTGATCCTAGCAATGAAGAAAGATGATCTTCCTTTAGCCGGGCACACACCCAGTAAGATGTGAAGCTGTTCACTTCCCTGTTTAAGACAGATTCCCAAGCTAGAGAGAATAACTTAGCTCTTTTTCTTCTGCCTCGATAGAACTTTTGAGTGACTACCCTAAGAAATCAGACTTATGCTCAGTTCTCCTCGGGATAAGCTGCTCTTGTTTCATAAGCAAATGAGGCAACAGGTGGTAACGTATAAAAGTACCATATACTATGTGTGAGCCGTTAGAGTATAATCAAGTCCATGTCTTCTTAGTCAGTGTCTCAATCACGGAAATTAAAAGTACAATGTCCCTGGTATACCACTAAAGCTCTAACTCTTATCTGTCTTCTAGACGAGTGAAGTGACCAATGGGGATTGGTCACGAACGCTATAAGAGAGGTTGCTTTCCGCCTTAGTACATCTCACATTGTGGTACCCTTTAGAGTTATAGTCAATGTATCACTAGTATAGGAGTTTATTATCCGTCTGAGATTGGGTTGGTGTTAAGTGTACTATTACTATAAGTTACAAGATCGAAAAAACACAGAGTGAATACATCTGTCATTCTCTAGTTTATATGCTAGAGTTGTTTCAACCATTTCTATTTATACTCGGTGAGGCACCTTTTTAGGAAAATCCTACGAAATCCCATTGATTCCAGCTTAGTAAGTTTCATGGAGGAAAGGGGATTGATGACTTTTATAAGTTATTTGAGCAATTAAACTAAAGTGAAGAAAAAGAAAGGATCTTATTTTCATCCAAGCGCTCTGTACGTTGTGTGCTATTTTGACATCTCATTACTACCTATCAAGTTTAACTTGCCTATGGTATACCCACCTATAGAGTGGCGGAATGCCCGCAATGATGGTGAAAATGCTATCCAGATGTCCGATCTTATAGGGGGTTACTTAAGTTGTCCAACATTAGATATGTATGATCGTTATCGCCTGTTAAGTAGCGTAAACTTTAATCACTTCAATATTTTTCTTCCACCAAATGAGTATGATCTGTGTAATGTAATGAACAAGCTGCAGGGTCAGGCCTTTCAAATCAACAGTGATTGGTTGAAATATCTTCAAAAATAATGAGAACTTCTTTGTTGAAAATGTTTTACTCATGCCAAAATTTCTAGCCTCAATGAATAAAAAAGGGGTATTAAGCTTACTTAGAGTGTTACACTTGAAAGATGTAGATATTAACGAAAAAATATAGTTTTAGCGATTTGTTAAATAAATTATATAAGAACATACATCGTGCTCGTTATGAGCAATTGATTATTAATGTGGCATCAGCCTATGATGGATATCAATTTTGCCTG